TAACATACCAGTGTTCATTGCAGCATTATTCATAACAGCCAAGATATGAAAACAACTCAAATATCCATCGACAGATGAATGGATAAAGAAAATGTTTTGCATACATAAATGAAATATAATTCAGCCTTAAAGAAGGAATCCCATTTGTGACAACACAGATGAACATAGAGGACATTATGCTAAGGGAAAAAGTCAATCGCAAAAGGACAAATATTGCATGATTCCACTCACATGAGGTATCAAAAGTAGTCAAATTCTTACAAGCAGAGAGTAGAATAATGGTTGCCAGGGGCTGGGGGAAGGGGAAATGTGGAGTTATTGCACAATGAGTAAAATGTTGCAGTTTTGCAAGATCTACAACATAGTGCCTATAGTTAACAACATGGTACTGTGCACTTTAAAACATGTTAAGAGGATAGCTCTCATGTTAACTGTTCTTACCACAAAAAATCCCCTCAAAAGAACACAAGGTAGTTTTTGAAGTGATGGAAATGTTTAGTGCCTTAACTGTGGTGATGGTATCATGGGTATATGCATATGTCCAAACTCACATATATCCAATATGTGCACATTAAATGTGTGGATTTTTTTGTATATCGATTATACCTCAATAAAGCTCTAAAAATAAAATGGAAGGGGCATTACCCATGATTTCTGTCTCTTTAATCAGGAAAATAACTTTTTCCATACGTCAAAGCATATTTATTTTTATGCCTCATTGTTAAAAGGCACCTGAGAAAAAGTAGTGTTACTCTGTTAGAGTCTGATTTTGAGGAAGATAAGGGAAAAGGGTCCTTTAAGGGTATTGGGTTAACCAATGAACAGTATTTGCCAAGAAGGAGCCCTCTAAAATTAATGTCAGTATTCAATAACCTATCTACGTTTGACAAATTGTTCTCACAACTCAATCCAGCTACTAATAATTATAAGCTTCTTTTCAAGAGTCTAAGCAAGCAAAAATGAGTGCATTGGGTATTGAACAATACTAGAATTATGTAAACCAACATGCTAATAGAAAAATAAATCTTAATCAGCACCAACAGCAGTACTCAGTGAACATTCTATATGAAGTCGAAATGGAACCACTACCTGCAGAATCAACTCTGATACAGGCCCAGTTGAAGTGCTGACACAGGTCCACTGACTGAGCCATGCTCTAGCCATAGAGAATGAGGTATAACACTGGCCACTGTGACTTGACTCCACAGATGATCCTGAAATAGGTTGTCAACAAAGACAGAACCCTGACACTGGCTAAAGTCAGAAACAACACATTGGATTATTCTGGTCAAACATGCATCCCAAATCCGGTTCATAATATTCATAACTGAAGTCCTGGCCACAGGCTCTGAAGTTGTTCACAGATGAAAAGCTAACATTGGTCTGAGACAAAATTCTTGGGCACATTACAGGTAATGCCCCAATATGGCAATAGACTGAAAATTAAATTTAAACATTGATTATGCCTTAACAATACCTAGAGATTGAGGTCTAACGCTGGACCAAGAATAAACTCTAACCATGAACACTAATTGAAACTTTGCCTGATGAAAGACTGAACATAAATCCTGCTCAAATTCTTACTTAGCCTTTCCCCAGGTAACAAAATCAGCATGAATAGTAACCCCTGGCAGAGTCACAATGCTGGCCTTTACTGATTCCTAAACCTATAAATAAAATGATTATTGACCAAAAACTTAAGTCAAACCTTGAGCTGAGTCCTAACACTACCTGTGGTTGGTCCACAGACTGAGCCCTAATGCTGATCTTAGAATGAGGCCTCTTCCAACATTCAGACTGAATCCGAATATTGGCCAAAATTTGAACCCAAACCTTGACTTCACCATGAGGTATAGTTCAGGACACACTGGAAAATGGCAGCCTCAGAGTGAGCCTTCACACTGGTCAGAAATGTACTCTGACCCTTGTCACAGCTTGAACCATGGCTGTAACTCTGGGTCCTAACGTTGATATCAGGCAGAGCCCTAAACATGGTTCCATGGTCCTCTAACCAAGGATCCACACTGACTTGAAAAGATAGCATCAGATTGACTGAGCCTTAAACTAAGCAAGAATTGAGGCCAAACACATTCCACATTATAAACCTGGAACCTGGCCATGACTTAAGCCTGTACCCTGGCTTTCTATAGAGCCTTAACCTTCGCCTACTAATTGATCTACAAATCTAGCCAGACTGATTACTCTGGGCCACTATTTCACAAATGCATCTTCATCATTATCTTATCTTTTAATTGTATGTATTTTCAAGCATACTTTCTACCAACAATAGATCAGGTGTCTCACCTTTGTATGTGTAAGCACCTGTGCACACACATACACACACACATTCTAATAAGCCTTGCCTTATTATTAGTTTAGCAATAAGAAATATTACTTGTTACAGCAGTGTATTTTAATTATTGATCTTGTTTATTGATAGTTTCCCCCTACTAGAATAAAGCTCCAAAGGGAAGGTATTTTACCTGGTATTCTTTCCACTTCCCCATTCCCAACAACTAGAATTACGCCTGGAATATTGCAAGTACTCGATAATATTTGTTGACTGGATTAATAAGTTCCTTTTTACTCTTCTGTCTTCTCTTATTTGAACTCTCTTTGCTATATTCCAGTAATTCTACTTTATTTTCTCCCAGTTCATCTACCTGGCCATTCTTCCTCAGCTTCCTTTGAAGGCACCTCTTCTTTTACCCACTACTAGAACATTGTTATTTTCTAGGTTTCCATACTTAATCTTTGTCCTTTTAAAAACTGCTATTCTAAACACTCTTTAAGTGAACTTTAATCTGTTTACTGATTTAATTACCATCTATATACTGGTGTCTCCCAAATGTTTAGTTCCAACCCAGACCTCTCGCCTGTGCTTCAGATCAGTATTTCCTTGCAGCCTATCAGCCAGATGCCCAAAGACTTCAAATTTTATATGTCCAGAACAGAATTCCTCCTATCCTTGATAAAACTTGCCATTCTTTCTTGGTCCCTTATCTCAGTGAATGGTATTACGATACATTCAGTTTTCTAAATCAGAACTTGGGAGTCACAATGGACTTGTTTCTTTCCCTCACTTTCCATATCCAAATTATCACCCACACCATCTGATCATACCATTTCCTTGCTTAAAATCCTTTGGTTCTCTACTGCTTTCAGATGAAATTTTGAACTCATTGGTATGTCCCTCTGTTCTTGTCTAATCTACTTTCAGCAATATTGGATTCTTCTTCTTCTTCTTATTTTTTGGTTCCCTGAACTCTCACATTCTTATTTCTCTGTACGGAATATGGTTGACCTCCCTGCCCAAATCTGACAAGCATCTTACTGGTTCTTCAGGTTTCATCATTCAAGCCTGGTTTCCTCCAGAAGTGGAAGGAGTTCTTCCTCTTCTAAGGTCCTACAGAACCCTGGGTGATTGGGTGATATCTTTCCTCTCTTCCTTCAGTTTGCATTTCAGATTTGGGCACACACCCTTACCAACGCGGTTTTTAGAGCACTTTGCACATTGTATACTCGATCTCCCCTTCTAGATTGTGAGCTGCTTGGGGGCAACACTTTTCTGTTTTCCAATTCTGTAGTAACAGTGCCTAGGCCTATGCCTTTCACAAAGCTGTTTTCCACATTAATTGTTGAATCTATTGAATCCTGTTCTTCCTTCAATTCTCTTTTAAAACTTTTAGGCAATTACCTTAGCAAAATGCAATTACCCTTCCTTTACCTTTATTCCATTTGGGAGTCAAAAAGTTGTCCTTATCAGTAAAATTGTAGTAATCCAACTGTAACGATTCATTCAGCTATAAGGATCCATCTCTTACAAAGAAAAGTCAAAAGTTAGGAGTGAAATTAGCCCTAATGAACAACGACTTTCCTTAACCTTTAAATCACATGAGAGTGCTTAGGTGTCTCTATCTATTTTTTATCAATCTCTTTTCACATGTATTTCTTTTTACTAAAAAAGATAAATAACTTCTTAAAGAAATATACAGTCATTCCTTACTATTGAAGTTGTATTGTCTATCTGTTCTAAACTGCGGTATTACACCAATGTATGTGGTCACTGTTCTTCATGGCAACAATGTGGCTTCCTTCTGGGTTGGCTTAGATCACATGTCTATGCCTGTTAGGACACCATTTCAAAGGAAAAAATATGATTCCCAATTAGAAACAAAATATACAGTTTTTCCAGAACCTTTGAAGTAATGCTAATGCAGATGGTTTGCACAGAACACACTTCGACAGTTTTAAAGGACCAGTTAAAATTCTAAGCTTATCAGAGCATAAATAACATTTTTAAGTCATTCAATCAAATCTCAATGAGAAATTCCAATCACAATATAAAGTGTTTCCCGCAAAACGTTAATAGCTTTACCAATAGTAACATAAATCTGCAATCTGCATCTGCCCCCACGAGCTCCCCATACTCTAAGAAGGGAGATTCTGTAAGACGGTGCACGCCAAACTACAATACTTATAACACCAACCTCGGTTTGAATTCTGGGGACAAATGGACCAGCTGAGAATTGTGGGTATATAGAAAGAAGCATCTCGACTCTATCTCCCACAATCCTCTATTTCGCTTTCTTCTCTCCGCCAATGCCCCAGGAAGAACAGCCTCCAGCGACGTCAAACTACATTTCCCATGAGGACAAGGGATTGGGCCTCCAGCGAGAGGGTGAGAGTACAGCCTTGGGCCTGAATGCCGGGCCTAAGCCGGCTAGCGCAAGACGGGTAGGTCAGAAGACAGTTGAGCGGCGTGGGGCACCACCAGGGCTACGAGCCCAGGAGCTGCTGCACTGGCCCGATTTTCCGCGGCTGTATTGTATAAGGAGTAGCGCTTCGGTAGGCGTGGAGCTGGAGGTCAGAGAGGCAGACAGCCTGACTGGCTGTGGCTGGGCACTGCGGGACTGAGGGTACCCAGGGAGGAGGGTGCTTCCGGGCCGCTGTCCTCGGCGCCGAACTCCGCCCAGCTCCGCCTCTTAGGGGAGGTGGGTGTCGGGCCCGGGAGTCTGGGGTGGGCTTCTGAGCTCTAGGCGCCAGAGCCCTGGAGCCTCGGGAACGCGCTCTCTTTTCTCTTTCTTCACCCCTCCAGCTTTTTCCTCTACTCCGCCACCCCCTCTTCCCACTTCCGCCTTGTGTCTCCGCAGAGGGCTGAAGTTACAGAGTTCGCAACATGGAAGGATTGGGTGATACCTTTCCTCTCTTCCCTCAATTTGTATTTCAGATTTGGGCACACACCCCTCCCAACGCACCCACTCCCAAATTTCCTCTAGGGGCGTGGGAATTCCTTGCCACGCCCAGAGCATGACTTTGTGTCAAATTTTTATTTTCTGCCTCCTTGATGGTGAGATACAGATCGTTGTCATCGCTTTATGGGCCCCTTCAGCCACCCGCTTCGGTGTTTGCAGTGGAAAGGGTTTCCTCTCAATTTCCAGAGGGTTGGGGAGCAGAAGAGGGAAGGAATCCCGCTTTTAAGAAATACGTGTTTAAGGTTCAGCGCACTGTTCTGGTGAAAGTAAAAGGCAAGTTAGACCTATATTGAAAACAGCGCTTTAGGAGTTTCCAGCAAGTGCTGATACAGCACGTGGACAAATATTTGGGGGTGGGAGGCACACCAACTACAGAATAAAGTAGACTGTGAGAAACAGACTGTATTATTTTATTATTACAAACACGTGCAAAAAATGCTCAGAGGTTAGTGGAAGGGAATACTGATGGGGGGTGCGGCATGATATGTGGAAGGCCAAACCTAATCCTGGAAGTTCTGAAGGCTTGAAACTGTCATACATCTTCCAGAGGAATCCTGGTAGGCTTTCAGAAGGCGGTGAATCTTAATTAGGACTCCAAAGGAATAAAAGGAATTTGAAATGGGCAAAGAGGAGGGGGGAAAATGCTTCCTAATACTGGGGTTCGAATTGGAAAACGGTGGGTAGAATAGGGAGCACTTGTGTGACAAGTGGGCTTGCCTGACTGGAGTAAATGTGTCAGCAGGGATAGACTGGGAAAGAAATAGTGTTGAAAAGCTTGGGGTCATAATAAATGGACACTTTGAAGCATCCACATAGTTTGGATATTGTTCTGTACCAAATAAAGACAAAAAATTAAGATTGGGTGATTTTTGTTTTTTCTTCCTAGGGGAACCTGATTTGAAATCAATTCTTGGAGAACACAAAGAAGTGTGGTGGTATGTTCCAGGTGTGAGTTTAATTTAAACCCAAGAAGAACTTTGTCTTATAGACTGTTTTGTTTGTGTATATTCTTAGCTCCACTCTATCGTTGTCAATTTTAAAGCCTGGTGATGTAAATTTATTTTCTTAAGAAATGCACTTGCTATCCTTCTGCATCATATTATCTGAGTTTCATTGGGCGACAATAATAACTGCTATTAATTGAGCCCATATAATGTTCCAGGCACTATCATAAGCAATTGGTTGCATATCTTAAGAGTCCTAGGAAGTAGATACTATTCTTCCCATTTTTCTAGAAGAGGAAACTAAATGCAGAAAAGTTAAATGACCTACCTAAGGTCACATATATTGTAAGGAGCTGAGTTGGGGTTTGAGTGACAGATTTCTGATTTCAGAGCCCATGCGCTGTCCACCATCGATCGTTGTTCACTTTTGTTCTTGACTTTACATTTGTGGTAAGGAGAGATTATTATGAGGTATCCTGGCAAAACCCCAAATGATTCACTTTTAGTTTCTGTGTCAGTATGTATCTGCTATAAAATAGCTGCCAAAGCCCGATGAGCTTAACGGCTATTGCAGCTGGAACTAATTGTGTCTGCCAAAACTATAGTTAGTATGGCTATTTCTGAATTAAATGATTCTCTTTTTAAAAAATCTCATATTTCTAAGCTATTTGGATCTGGACAGTACTTTGGGTTTTATGTTAGCTTTTATTTTAAGTGACTTTCTGGGTCTCTGGGTATCCTCCATGACTTTTACCCACATGAAGTGTTGGAGATGCAGCAGAGTATGAGATGTGAGCTCTCCATGGGTCTAGTTAGGGAGATAAATGCCCATAATTTGAGATAATGTAGTGTGTGGTATAACAGACTGGTGTGCTGTACTGTGGGAAGATAAAGGAAGGAGTGACTAACTAACAGAGAGTCAGGGAAAAGCCTTCAGTGAGGAGGTGATATGACAGATAGGACTTGAAGGATAATGAGTTTGCCAGGCAGAGCAATGGAGGGAGGCCTTCCAGATAGAGGTAGCAGTCTGTGAAAGACATGGCTATACAGTAGCAAGGCATGCCATTCAGTATTGAGGAATTCAGCATGACTGGGGTGGCAGATTGTTTGGGAAGAGGAAGGTATAATGGTAGAAGGGTCTGGAAAGGTAGGTTGGGGCTGATTTGTGAAGAACCTTGAATGCAGTGCTGAGGAGTTTAGATGTGCTCTCATATCCTTTGTTTCTCGAAATGTAGGACATCTGCCAGAGGTGGTTATGTTGTACTCCCACAAACATTTTAAATTGTATTAATTATATATCCTAATGTATCTTATAAAAGATAACACTGAATTACATCATCAAATCTAAGGTTACTTAGGATCTGTGTTAGTAAAAATAGAAAGTGAACCCATTTTAAGTTCATTTCAAGACAGGTATTAATACTGATATCCAAGGTGTGTGAATATGGGAAAATCTCCAAGTAATACTCAAATGACTGAAATTTGAGAAAAACTGCTTATAGGTGATAAAAAAAAACATTACAATGTTTTAGCAGAGGAGCACAAGATCAGGTTTCCACTTTAGGGTGCACTGGAGGGGAGGCATGACGCATTAGGAGGCTAGTGGCTCCACAGAAAGATGTTGAGGACCTGAGGGAGCAATATATGGGAGGAGGGAACAGATTTGAGAGACATTTAGGAGGTAGAATTGAGACTCAGCATATGTGAATATTATGATTCTATCAATGCCATCAGAATTATTTTAAAAGTCTATATGCCCCTTGCCTGTTATCCTTTATATTCTAAGGTAAGCATGTTATTGCCCAAATCAGGCTATGTACATATATGCATTAAGGTAACAGTGGAGCTTTGTCATGAACAGGTTTGGATTATACACAAGCATCCTCACTGCCTTGCTGATTGTCCTTGAGAGCAGTGGCACAAATATTTATGGCTTTGAGAAGGAATGTGAGTATGATCTGTGACCCTTAGCCATCTGAGGAACTTCTCCTCCTTCAAGACCCAGCTGAAATGTCAACACCTCTGAATGCACACACACAGAGAGATGCATAGACAATGCAATGTTAGGCTCCTGGCTTCCATAGGACCTTGCACTTACCTCTGCTCTAGCCTGTACCATATTGTAGTGTGTCAGTCTGTGGATGTGTCTGTCTCCCCGCTAGACTGTGAGCTCTTTGAGGACAGAGACCAGGTCTTTCTCATCTTCATGCTCATAGCATCCAGAATAGCACTTGGCACATTGTAGACACCTAATAAATAGTTATTGGATGAAAAGAATGAATCAGCATATTCGCATGAATATAACTTTGGACCTTGGTACCACAGAGTGTCAAATGCTACAAAAACCCTAACAGTTTGCTACAGTTGCTACTTTTGCTGAATAAAGCAGTAAATTAAAGTGACCTGGGTGCATGACTGCACTAAAGGTTTCAGGGTTTCTTCCATTTTTACCCACTCTCCTGTAGTTCCTTTTTTCTTTCTCAACATTTATCCACCCAGCCACCTGTTCCTTAGGCCTGCTCATTGCTTCTTTCCTCTTGACGGAGTTCACATTGCTCCTGCCTGATACTCTGCCAAGGATCCATTCCTCCTTTCTCCCCACCTAGTCTAGTTAACACCATTCTTGAAATCACTGTCAAATGGGTCTCCTACTTATATAGATACTGCTAGTGGGACTGTAATTTGATAAAGCTCTTGTGGAGAGAATTTGTCAGTATATATAAAAAAACCTTAAAATCAAACATAGCTTTTAACCTACCACTTCAACTTCTAGGGCTCTATGCTGAGGAAACAAACATGATGTTTCCAAAAATGAGCTGTCAGGATGTGTATCCCAGAATTATTGATAATAGCAAAAACAAACAAAAAGAAAAAAAAATAACACTTTAAATGTCCAAAACTAGAGGCTTGAATTAAATCAGTTATGGTTCATCTATAGCATGGATTACTAAGTAGCCATGTAAGTTGATGTCACCAGAGACTATTTAATGATGTGAAAAGTTGTTTATGATATATTAAGACAAAATTCAGGTTATAAAGCTGACTGATCCCAGTTAAAATATACACAAATTTAAATCACACATGCATATGTACACACACACACACACACATCTATCTGTGCATGAATACATAGGAAAAATCCTGTAATGTTAAAAATACAGAAAATATCCATAGAGGCTTGCTAGAAATGGTAAGATTACATATGAGTTCTGTTTTTTTAACTTTTTGCCTGTCTTTATTTTCTAATTTTCTATAATGATACATTTGTTTATTTTTAGACAGTTTTAAAAAAATGTTTTGCCTGTGCCCACCTCTTTTACCAGTACCTTAGTTTAGGGCACTCTGCTCACCCACCCCACAACACACACATGATTTCTAGCCTGGATTGCTATTGCCTCCAACCTGCCTCCCTTCCAGCGCATTCTCCACCAATGCTGACAGCATGATTTTTCTAAATCGCAAATGGAAGCTATCTGACTCTATATAAAACAGTTCAAAGGCTGCCTAAGATAAAATCCTCAAGATAAAATCCAGACTTCTTAGACTAGCCTATAAAACCTTTGATAATCAACATCCTGTTTTTCTCTCAAGTGTCACTTTTTCCTCCAAAGATTTTACTTTTTTCTGGAGTCTTAGGTTAGTGCCTGGCACATAATAGGTGTTTAGTTAATGCTAGCCAAATGTTGATGTGACTTGTATGGGTTAATTATTATGTGCCAGCCAATCCACTGGTATTCCAACTCATTCTCAGAGTAAAAGCATTAAACACAAAAGTGATCCCTATTTTACAGATGAGAAAATTAAAGAATAAAAATAATCATAATAAAGAACACTTTTTAAAGAAAAATCAAATCCCCCTGCATAACACAGCTCTCTTCATTTTCCTGCAGCCCCTGCCAGTCTTTGTCATTATGCCTACAGACTTTGTTCATTCCCTTGGGCAAGTTATATGTGACCACAGCATAACCAGAACAGTCCAGACTGACACGATCTCACCATGTCACAGTTCATTCACATTGTGCTAATGTACAGAAATCTTTCCTTTGTGTACATAACACTTCATGCGGGAGAGACGGAAAAGCCCCAATTGCTGTGTTTTTTCTTTCTGTTTTGAAATTCTATGTCTTTTGGGATGGGGATGTCAGCAGAGAGCTACAGAAAACGGTGATAGAATTGAATGTACATGAAACAATGTGTCTCATGGGAGCTAATGTCATTGGTTAATTTATTTTTTAAAATGTCATGTAGATGTATTTTCCAGGAATCTCTCCCTGGGGAAGACCTTGGTTGAATTCAACTGTTAATCCTATTTACAGAATGCAGCCCATGCGTGCACTATATTCTTGCATTGTTAAGTGATGTTAGACATATGGGGTGGATTACCATAAGAACATACAATCAGGTAGATATAGGATATCTGATTTTCTCTACAGAAATATATGTGTTCATATTGTCATTCAGGATCCTGCAGCATGGTCTTTCCTTCATTTTCCTTACAAATAATACCCATTGTGCAAAAATGGATGCTCTTTAAAGGACAGAAGTCCTTAGCATGAATCGTCTGAATAAAATGTTATTACCTTGTAAGAAATTGTCACTTTTTAATACTCCAGGAAAAAGAATCTATAGTTCTCCTGCTGCATTATCAAATAAGTTGAACATAGAAATTAGAGTCCCAGTTCATTTGATGAACTATAGTAGGCTTACTATATACGAAGCACTCCATTAGGCACTGCACTAGGTACTCATAAATACCCTCTTTTAATGCCTTCTAAACAGAAAGAGAGTGAGAGTTCTAGTGTACACACAAGAATGAGTGTGCAAGAGCAATGAAAGAAAGATTTTAACAAGCAGGCCCATCATCTAAATGAAAATTTATCCAGCTGAAAATTGGGATATGTGCCAGTAGGGATTTCTTCTTCTTCTTCTTCTTCTTGTTTTTTTTTTTTTTGTCTCTTCCTCTGTTGGATATATAGGTGAAAATGAGATATCAGAGAGCTGA